CATTGGGAAGGTCTGTAGTAACCAGTAGCTGCCTCAGTACTGATGTCAGTAGGCATCTTAGAGATGGTGGCTGGAGCCGTCTTTCAAAAGAGAAGCCCAGGACACGTGGTCTGACCCCAGGATGGGCAGTAAGTGGTATGAGGGCTGGACCTCGGCCACCCTGGGTAACTCCAGTTCTAACCCAGTGCCTGGCACACAGACATGTATAATAAACTAAAGCTTACTGGTGGTGGTGGTGGGGAGGCTGGGAGACCCTGGGTGGCACGAACAGGTCAGTGGTCAGCTGCTGGCCAAAAGGCTGGTGGCTGGAGTCCACCCAAAAGCACCTTGGAAGAAAGGCTTGGGGATCCATTTCTGTAAAAGCAGCCACGGGACACCTCATACAGCACAGCTCCATTCTGACACACGAGGTGGGATGTACTCGGTAGCAACTGGTTTTGGATTTACAGGTGGGATACTTCAGCCCGTGGGACGTCTCCTCAGAGAAAGAGCTAGAAACACAGGAGCTGGGTGGCCAAAATAGTCAACAGCACGTAGTCGTGGGGGAGCAGCTGCTCTCTGAACACAACTCCTTGGGGAGCGTGGAGGACTGCAGGGCCTGTGAAGGCCAAGAGAGCAGAAGTAGAAGGTAAGTTCAACTGTAGCTTGGAGCGACTTTTAATGGAAGGCAAGAAGCCACCATGAAAAGAGATGTGGTATGCCATTTGGGAAAGCAACTATCAGGGACCAGAGGAAGGGTTAGCCCAGGGGGAGGAATGTCTTTAATTATGAATCATGACTCATTAAAATAACTCATCCAAGGGTGATGTTTGAAAGAAGTAACCAAGTTCAAAGTCTGGTGGGTGAATGGAATGAAGAAGGTGGGGTAGGGAGTTTGGAAAAAGGAAAACAAAATGCCTCACTCTGTTTTTCACTGAAAATCAAAGACATTAGTCAATTAATTAAATGATTGCATTAAGAAAAAATGTACTTCCGATACAGAGGGACCATAACATGCAGACACATAGCTACATGCTGGGGGACGGTCGGGGGCACCTGTCAGGGAATTCCTGGTAAGCCACACTGTTCTGTTTGGGCTTGTCCTGGGCCCCTTTAAGCAATGGGCTTGTTGCCTTCTGGCCTCTGGTTTGCATTGCATAAATACTGAAGTGGTCACCAGTCTTCTGAAACTGCTCAACAACTCAAATTGTGTCCAGTAGCCTAAATGGCATTTAAAATAAATTCTGTGAATCGATAAGCTGACCGAATTACTCCATCATCCTCAGTACTGAGAGGCGATTCAGCAAGCTCTTGTGCCAGTGAGCTCTACAAGAACCAAAATGCAGAGGCCACACTCCTGGGGCCAAGGAGGACTTGGAGTACCTCCAGCTAATTGTTGCAATTAGTTTTGTTCTGAGAAAACGAAACATTCCACGTGTCTGTTCAACAGCTTAGAAACCAAATAACCATTAGACAACATAACCTGCTTCCCCTGGTAACGATGCTACCATTTGGTCCCACTCATTTCCGGTTCTGACCTCCATGACTTCCTCCTTGGACATCACTTTATTTTTCTTACTGCACATCTTGGGGCATGTGACACTATTACTCAAAAGTGCTGATGAAACGTTTATTCTCCACACCTACCACTCAGAGTCTCAGTCACCGCGCTCTCTGAGGTCCTGCTCTCTCATACCTACGGGATCCTGTGGCTTCCTCTTCTCAGGCTACCCTTTTTCCTATTTCCATGCACCCACATCATCCTATTGTTTAAGGCCTTGTTCAAGTACCCATTCTCCCAAGAAGTGACAGGCACTGTGCACTCACTGTCCAGATGAAAAATTAAGTCTCCCTCCTCTAACCAGGTGGCATATATGCTTATTCTCCCACTCCTGCCTTCTTTAAATCTCAACCCCTGGGGCCAGTCCATGCAGCAGATTCTCCTCGTACCCCTTAGAGCCCAGGTTAACCAGCCCTGCTCGTCACTTGGGTTCATGGTCAGGCTGGACCTCAACTGGCTAGTCCCCGGGCCCAACATCTTACATGTATCACCTCACATGACCAAGTTCTAGGAACTGGGTCCTTGTGTCCTGCTTTCCCTCAACTCCAGTCTCTATGACTGGAGCCTATTAACAGAGCTCTCTCCTAGTCTGATTACCTATTAGTTTTTCCTCTCCTTTCTAGAGAGAAAAGGAATGTATGTATATTTTGAAGATAAAAGGTATAAAGATGAGAAAATGAACACAGAGCAGGTGTGTTTTCTTGAACTTTATTCTAATGCAAACTGTCACTGGCATGAATGGGCTGGTTCCTTCTTTACCCTTCACCTTTATTTCTAACATTCTTGCTTGTGGGCATTAAAAACTTCTTAATGACCCACTACCATCCACCAAAGGAATTCAGAAGTATTAATTAGGAACAGCATGTACATACAGGCAGTCCCCAGGCTACGAACGAGATCCACTTTTAAATGTGTCTTTAAGTCAAATTTGTAGGTATGTAGGAATAGGTGCAAGGAGCTCTGGTGGCATAGTGCCTAAGGCATTTGACTGCTAACCAGAAGGTTGATAGTTCAAACCCACCAGCCACTCCACGGAAGGAAGACAAGGCAATCTACTTCTGTAAAGATTTACTGCCTCGGAAACCCAATGAGTGTCACTCTGAGTCAGAATTGACTCGATGGCAGTGGGTTTGGCTTTTTTGGTTTAGGAACAGTTGCATAAGGTTCTTATATAGCCTTACTTTACTGAAAATAATCCAAACCTGAATGATACCCACGTAATTAATACAGTTCTAGAGTAAAAATAAAGGTGTCCATAACTTTGCACTTCACTTGAACAAGCCAAAGCCTCATCTTAATCACTCCTATTTCCATTATCTGAAGGGAGAACAGATTTTTTTAAATTACGTATTAGTTTTTCAGAGTGGAGGGGGTTCCTTTCACTTTCTTGAACACTTAGGGTATCAACTGTGCTCTTTTTAGAATCAAGCTTCCAAGAAAAGGCTCGAAGCCCTTTCTGTAATTTGAAAGCTGTGTGTACAGCAAGTGAAGTTAAGTCTGATGAAGAACTGGCTGGAGTAGGGGTTGGAATCATTTCAAAGCAAGGGGAAATTTATGTAACATTAAAGGGCAAGCGTGTAAGTCTGATGTTCGCAACCCAGGGACTTCTGGATTTTGAAAAATTTTATCACAATAAAAGTGTTTTGAGAGCTACATATACAGACACAGCAAACGAAGAACCGTCACAGAGAAAAATTAATCTTAACAAGTCCCCACCCACATTCCCAAACTCTCACCAAGATTCTTCTCATTTTCAAATGTACAAAAAACACATGGGTTGTATTTCAGTGGATGTGGGTTCAATGGGCATCTGAAATCTGTAATTATTCTCAACCCTTAGAATAATCAGGGTAATTGTTAACACCCATAAGGAAGAAAACAAAGGTCCACCACCCAGGAGACAGGACCTCAAGGTGCCATCACCCAGCTCCAGAAACCTTATTGCTGTTTCCTCACACGCTTGCCCTACAGAAACAAACACAACTGAAGCTAAGGCAATGTTACCTAATGTGGAACCTAATGAATATAGGATTTCTTCCTTTAAGAAAAAAAGAACAACCCCTTTTCTGAAAATAATCCAAACTTGAATGATACTCACATCATTAATACAGTTCTAGAGTAAAAATAAAGGTGTCCATAATTTTGCATTTCACTTAACAAGCCAAAGCCTCATCTTCATCAGTCCTATTCCCATTATCTGAAGCGAGAACAGATTTTTTTAAATTATGTATTAATTTTTCAGATTGGAGGGGGTTCCTTTTATTTTCTTGAACACTTAGGATATCAACTGTGCTCATTTTGGAATAATCAAGCTTAATTAATCAAACTGCCTAAACTTCATCTGTACCAAGGAAAAATGCAAGAAAAGTCTTAGGTTCCCTGATTTCAGGGTTATTAAAAAGATAATATGCAATTGTACCGCTTATAAAACAACAACAACAACAACAACAACAACAACGTGACAAAGTTTCTTATGATTGTATGAGCTTCTCCTGAAGATGTATGTTCATTTTCTGAAGCTGACTTACATTCCTCACCTGTGGCTGCTCCTCAGTAAGCACTTTTAAGGAAAAGAGGCCCAACATCAATACATCAACCGGAATGCACTAAACCCCTCACCACGAGCCAGTACAGTTCTGAAGCTCTTGGTACAACCAAATATGTTCACTTTAGGCCAGTCACGCTGCTCAACTCCTAGTCAACCAACAGAGGCCACAAGGGCCAGGAACCTGAAGACCCTTGGGACCCCACCAATTCCTGCTTATCTGCCAAACAGATATCCAGAAACAGCAGATAATCCAAAAATAATTCCTAAAAGTATTCAGAATGCAATTTATTGCTATTTTTAACAGCTTGTTTTTTAACTTTGTTTTGTGACTTTAAAAGTAGAGATGAAAGGCAGTTTGCATTCTTTGAACACATTGGATAGGAAACGGTGCAAAGCAGCTAAGAATGGGTCAGGCAACAGGATGGGTGCCCTTCTGCAGAATAAACCATCATCAACCTTCCAGGCACATGTAGACATCACAAGACAGCAAAGAATAAGGGTACCTTGAAACAACAAAAATACCAGACACCCAAGACATCCCTTCCTAGCCCAAGCATAGAAACATGCATACATGTTGCTTGTTGTTATTAACCCATTTATGCTACTGTCACCTCCTAACGGCCATGTAATTCTAATTTCACCAAGTAGCCAAACACTGCTGGAATAGGGCGCCAGTGACAACAGACCAAAGACAGCGTCGTTAAAAGCCTGGTTAAAAGACAACAATCCACAGCTACCAGAAAACCTGATTAGGAAGAAATACAGAGAACTGGAGCAACCAACTCAAGCCGCAGCACTCACTTCTCCAAAGTGTGCCACTGCCAAGCAGCGCAGACCACCCTGACGGACACCACGCCCAGAGGAGTAACGGTAGGTGGGGAGGGGACGGAGGGAGCTGCGCTAGAGACCTACCTTGCAGAAGGGCTCCATTTCTCTTGAAGAAGGTGCTGCCTGGCCAGATTGGTGGACCTGATGTGCTGAAACAGAAGGAAAACAAGATAAGCCGATCTCAGTTACACTCACCTGCACTCCCAATCAGGAGCTCTGGTAGCACAGTGCCTAAGGCATCTGACTGCTAACCAGAAGGTTGGTGGTTCAAACCCATCAGCCACTCCACAGAAGCAAGTCTGGGCAATCTACTCCCATAAAGATTTACCACTTTGGAAACCCAGTGGAGGCCACCATGAGTTGGAATCAACTGGACAACAGTGGGTATTTTTGTTTTGTTTTGGTTTTGCACTCCTAATCACCTTCTCCAAACAGAGCCACTCAAAATGGCCTCAAAACATTTCCCTAAGGATGCAGTACTCAGACTCTCTGAAAACACACCTGTAAAAACTGTTAGGTTGGTTTTATTACTAACAGGCTTCATATTTAACAGTGCACAACCTGTCTACATGAGGGCTCTTATCTACATCATCTTGGTTACCATCCTGACCTTGTCCCCTCCCGGCTATGGGAATCATCCATCAGGTAAAAAGAACCAAACGGCAAGTGCACACAGTTCAACGTCAGAGCTTATCACTCAATAGTATTTGGTGAAAGGCTCATAATTACATGAATTTCTGTGGCAAAGAATTCCTGGCCATTGCTTCTGAGACCAAAAGGGTTTGTCAGTAATTCTTAGCACCACTTGCCCGTTATAAATGCAAACTGGTTTTTCGTAGCATCTCAACGACCGGATCCTTGATATAGAGAACAACCTTGCATGACTTCCTCCCTACCCGCAGCCTCTTGTTTCTAATCCTGTTTCCAATTTCTTGGTTTAAAACGGTACCTTCTATCCCCTCTAGAACAGTTCACAGATACGTCACCACCCACAGTCTGGTAACAGGAGAAGCAAGAAAATAAGACAGACTGATATACCACAAAGACACTTCCTGCATTTCAGAGGCGTGTGTTTTAAGACATCCAGTGAAAAATGTTACAACCAAGCCAGTCTTGGTGAGATATCCTTGAAGTGGAAAGTAGGCAATTCTAAATCATGGCCTGGTTGAGATTAATATGAGGAAGGGGAAGCACTTAGTCAAAGATGTTATGATGTCCAACCTGAGTACCAGTACAAATTACCTTCACCGAAACAGTACACGACAGATGATATTGGCTATGTATTGTCAATCACCTTCAACAGTAAAAAAATTAAAAGTTGGGCTGAATAATATGTTTGTAAGCTCAGCCTGTGCGCACATGCATGTACACCACACAAGCACATGGAGTAAGACATCAGAAGGCTCCTACAGTGATGCTTCACCAGTCAACAAGGCTCTTGGGTACCCCAGGATAGCAGTGTGGTTATGAGAAAGGGAAATGTCAAGGAAATACCATGCTGACCAGAATTTCATTATTAGACATACAAACAGGAGAGCACACATAGAGATATACCCTATGCTTGGGGAGGAAGAGTGGGGCAAAGGAAAGAGTTACAGCATAAAAACACCATTAAACATCGAAACCGTATCCCAACGTGCTAGCAAGCACACACTGTGTCCCTTGATGTAAATGACCCTCAATGCTTTCTTTGCTTTGACTTTGCATGGGGTCCACTATACTCAGAGAGAGTCCCCAGGTGGGGCAAATGGTTAAGAGCTCACTCATTAGCTGAAAGGTTGGCACTGTGAACCCACCTGGAGGTGCCTTCGAAGACAGACCTGGTGATCTGCTGAAAACCCTACTCCGCACACATGGGGTCACTGGGAGTTGGAATTGACTCAATAGCAATTCACAACAACAATATGCTCAGGGTGAGTGAGGCAGTGGTGGTTCAGTGGCAGAATCCCTGCCTTTCATGCAGAAGACAATGGCTCGGTTTCCGACCAGTGCATCTCAATCTCAGGTGCAGCACCGCCTGTCAGTGGAGGCTTACGTGTTGCTGTGATACCGAACAGGTTTCAGTAGACCTTCCAGACCAAGATGCACTAGGCCCGGGGATCCACTTCCAAAACCGTGCCCATGAAAACTCTACGCATCAGGGTAGTCCCGTCTGCAACCCACCATGGGGATGGTTCAGGATGGGGCAGCTCACAGGCCTCCCCTGCGGCCCTGACTCCCAGCTCTGGCAGCGGTGGCCTCAGGGCTGCCCAGTGGTCTTGGACCCTCGCTGCAGGATGGAGGCAGCAGGCTGGTTTCTCTTCCATCCGCCTCCCTTCCTATTCCACTTTCGGGCTCTTTAACGTGCAAAGGTGCATGAAGAATAATGTGCGTGGAAATGCTTTCGATGATCTTTGAACAACTCCAGCCAGCTCCCGGGATTTCACCATCTTATTTTTATAAGAAAGCAGGAAACAGCAAGCTGGCTGTTGCCAGTACCAACCCACCTGATTTATAAAGATATTTAAAAACTGAGGACATCATTACTGAGGAGCTGCTGCTTTCAGAGAACTCAATAATTGAGTATTACTGCAGGAGCCTGGATATCCAGCTTACTTCCATCCAAATCTTCTCTTTATCCTGACCTTGATTTGGCTGAAAACCGAGTAGACACCAGGGATGGAGCAAATACGGAGAAGTGAGGTCAGATAAATCCAGGAGGCTAGATAAGGAAACTTCTCTGTGTGATAAAAACCTACCTAAAGGTTTCCACAGCATCCTTTTAATGTACTTAAGTCACTGATCAGTATTCTATAGCCATTCTGTTGTGCTGTCCATCTGATCTCTACTCCAGTGGAGGAGAGAGATTTGGACAGGCCACCTCCACAATCTGACCTGGCCCCAAGGTGAATTCACAGGGAGCCTCTTTCCCACACAGAGTAAGTTGGTTCCTGTTATGCTGACCACAAAGCTTTTGAGTTCATCAGTCCCACAGTCAACACACTCTTCCTTGTACTTGAAATGGCATCTTCTCAACTTGTAAAACAGTGGTTAAACATGTGACTACTAACAGAAAGATTGATGGTTCTAACCTGCCAGCCACTCCATGGGGAAATATTTGGGAACTCTGGTAGCGTAGTGCCTAAGGCACTTGACTGCTAATCAGAAGGCTGGTGGTTCAAACCCACCAGCCACTCCTCAGAAGGAAGATGGGGCAATACTTCCGTGGTGATACTGCTTCGGAAACCCAAGGAGGGGTTGCTATGAGTCGGGTCTGACTCAACGGCACACAACAGCAACAACAACTTGTTACAAGATTCAAGGATTTATTAAGTGTGTATTAAGAACTGTACTTCGTGCTAGGAAAGATATGGAGAAACAAAACAAAACAATATTTTAGGGCCTGTAAGAGTTTCCAGGTGGTATAAACTTAAGGTTACATACTTGGCTATTAACCAAAAGGTTGGCAGTTTGAGTACACCAGAGGTGCCTCAGAAGAAAGACCTGGCAATCTGCTTCCAAAGGTCACAGCCACTCAAACACCACAGATCACACAGTTCTACTCTGACACACTGGTGTTGCCAGGAGTCTGACTCGACTTGACAGCAAATGGTTCAGAATACACTATCCTGCTGACCTAGCTCTAACCGCCTATGATTCTAGCTAAAGAAGTAAGAAATGCCTATAGAAAGGCCAAAGGTTATGGCTGTAAGTTGAAGAGGCAACAAGCTATTTCCCTCCATCTGGAGTTGTCCCTGGCTCACTGGCCTGTAAAGCTCAAAGTCAGTTATTTAAAAAAAAAAAAATCAATCCCAGTGGCTTAACAGTATGTTTACTACAGGCAGTCCCCAAATTATGGGCAAGTTCCATTCCTAAGTCTGTCTTTAAGTCGAATCTATATATGTCAGAAAAGTTCAGTAAGGTTCGGGTCTAACATCAGTCAAATGTTTCTCTTAGTATATGGCATATAGCGTACCGTTCGTTCCATGCATAAAAAACATTAAAGAAATACTTCCAGACACCCTAAAATATCTTTTCCATAACACAGTAACAATAATAATGTTTTGACGCACTTGCAAAGTAGCAACCATTTATTATTACATTTTATTATTACATACCTCAAATTTTTAATTTAATAGGTTTTATGGGGGTGGCTTATAATGATGAGTTGGACATACGTTGGACACACAATCATAACCCAGGCAGTGCCTGTACAAAAATTCAGAGAAGAAACTAGCCACTGAAGCCTTTGTAGGGGGAGCTAGAGCCACACTGTAAACCACTTACTCATGTGTCAAAAAGAGGGCTGCTATGGACTGAAGTATGTCCCACAAGCAATGTACTGAACTCCTGGCTCCTATATCTATGGATGTGATCTTGCATGGAATACGATTTTCTGTGTTATGTTAGTTAGGTCATAGTCGAGTAGAGTGGGTTCTAAGCCTCATCACTTCTGCGTTATATATAAAAAAAAAAACCAGACAGACAGACACACACACTGGGGGAGACAGGTGCCAAGGAAAGCTAAGGAAGACCATGGAACTCCTGGGGCCACTGACTAAGAAGGACCTCCCTCTAGAGCAATGCTCTGACTTTGGGTCTCCAGCCTCCTGAACTATGAGAAAATTGATCTCTGTTTTTCAAAGGCACCTACCACAGCAGCCCTGGGGGACAAAGACAAGGGGACAGAGTGAGTAGGGGGAGCAGGGGTGTGCTCCACACCTAGTGACTTGAATGTCAGTTAGAAATGGCCTCTGGGACCCCTTTAAACCCAACCAGGTGGGTTGCAATCACCTGACAATCATGCTCCCACTGCCTGACACTGGGGACAGCAAGCTACTGTTACAGAGCACAGGACTCAACCCTGTCTCACAGACCCTCCGTCCTGCCGGACAGGCAGGGCAGTAATCACCTTCCCCATTCTACAGACCAAGCGATGTATGGCTCAGCAGTGAAGGGTCTTGCCCAAGGTGCCGCATGGCTGGATGGCCAACCCACGACTGCCCAGGGCTTCTGGGGTGAGCCTACTGTACCACAGGGACACAAATCAACAGGCTTGACTGTTTCTAATCTTCCAGTCTTCTCGATGAAACTCTCAGCTATGCTTCCCCATAGCAGAAGGCTATGGATGGATTTCACTAGGAATCTCTCCAAGGCAAAGTCCCAGGCT